TCCATTTATCTGTTGATGGACATCTAGGTTGTTTCCATGTCTTGGCTATTGTAAATAGTGCTGCTATGAACATAGGGCTGCAAGTATCTTTTCAAATTATAGTTTTGTCTGGATATATGCCCAGGAATGGGACTGCTGGATCATATGGCAACTCTATTTTTAGTTTTTTGAGGAACCTCCATACTGTCCATACTGTTTTCCATAGTGACTGCACCAATTTACATTCCCACCAACAGTGTAGGAGGGTTCCCTTTTCTCCACACCTGCTCCAGCATTTATTGTTTGCAGACTTTTTGATGATGGCCATTCTGACTGGTGTGAGGTACTACCTCATTGTAGTTTTGATTTGCATTTCTCTAATAATTAGCGATGATGAGCATCTTTTCATGTGGATGTTCTGCCCATTTTTCGATTGGGCTCTTTTTTTTGTTATTGAATTGTATGAGCTGTTTGTATATTTTGGAGATTAATCCATTGTCAGTCACATCATTTGCAGATATTTTCTCCTAGTCTGTAGGTTGTCTTTTCATTTTATGATTTCCTTTGCTGTGTAAAAGCTTGTAAGTTTGATTTGATCCCATTTGTTTACTTTTGCTTTTATTTCTATTGCCTTTGGAGACTGACCTGAGAAATCACTGCCAAAATTTATTTCAGAGAATGCTTTGCCTATGTTCTCTTCCAGGAGTTTTATGGGGTCATGTCTTATATTTAAGTCTTTAAGCCATTTTGAGTTTATTTTTGTGTATGGTGTGAGGGTGTGTTCTAACTTCATTGATTTACATGCAGCTGTCCAACTTCCCAACACCACTTGCTGAAGAGATTGTCTTTTCCACATTGTATATTCTTGCCTCCTTTGTTGAAAATTAATTGACCATAGACATGTGGGTTTATTTCTGGGCTCTCTGTTCTATTCCATTGATCCATATGTCTGTTTTTGTGCCAATACCATGCTGTTTTGATTATTGTAGTTTCATAGTATTGTTGGAAGTCTGGGAGGGTTATGCCTCCTGCTGTGTTCTTTTTCCTCAAGATTGCTTTGGCAATTCTGGGTCTTTTATGGTTCCATATAAATTTTAGGATTATTTATTCTAGTTCTGTGAAAAATGTCATGGGAAATTTGATAGGGATTGCGTTAAATCTGTAGATTGCTTTGGGTAGTATGACAATTTTAACAATAAGTAATAGGACTTTTTCAAATTGTTTTTTGCTGTGTTTTGTTTTTACGTTTGGGTACACCATACCAAATGTAGTATCTTATAAATTTTAACTATGGAATAGGTAAAATAATTTTTGATGCCTAAATTATACTGGATTTATTAGTCAAATCAACCATCACTGTTAAATGAACCTTTCTCTTTAGGTTGGGAAAAATATTCCTTGGATTTTAAAGGAATATGTATTTTATAGATATTTAACATATATTTTATAGATATTCCCAACTCTTGAGCCAATATAAAAAAATATGTTTAGCTATGCTCTCTAGCAGCAAATTCTAATTCTTTAGAATTTCCTAGGTAGACTGTTGTAATGTCTTAATTTTTTAACTGACCACACAAATATTTTCAGCATTCCTACTATATTCAAGATCTTGTGTTAGGACCTGGGATTCAAAGATAAGCAAGATACCATTACTATTGCCAAGGAGCTCACAGTCCAAGGGGCTCCAAAAAATGTATGATAAATACTATAGCAGGTATTTGCAGGAAACTGAACAGGGATGGAGTCCATAGTTCCAAATGAGAATAAAGGAAGGCCTCTTGGAAGAGGTTTCTTAGCTAATCCTACATCACTGCACCAAAATTCTCAAGTTTTAAGAACAAGAGGGCAAACAGTTGTTCCATATGTGTATGCAAGAGAAATAATCAGGAGAATTAAGCTAATAAATCACCTCGTAATGCCCAAACTTCTTCAGCATATGTATCACAGAATTTCAGATTGTTGGCAAATATGAATAAATATAATACATATGACTATGATATTCCAAGACTTTCCCCACATTGCTCAAATAAAATGGTAGCAGGTTTTCCCTGGCCCTCTTTATTCATTATACAATTGTTTCTAGCGACCAATGGTATAATACTTATTAATATCTTTTCCTTTTCCTTGTAGGATTACCGGAGAGTAAATGAAACATGTGAAGCTTAGTGCAGGGCCCGGCACACAGTAGCATTCAATAAGTGATAATCTCCCTCTCCAGTCCAAGGAGAGGGAGAATTCTATGTCCATTCACTACAGTGCCTTTGCAATTAACGATGTGCTAATAAATGTTTGAACTCTACACTAACCTCACAGCTAATTACCACTACCCACCAAAGAAATCTTTAGCATCTTCCTTTTTTTCCCAGTTTCCTCAGTCCCCCACTGTATTCTTCGTAATACCTTATGGTAAAACTCTTAAATTCTTAAAACAAAACTGTCACATTTAAGTTATACAAGAAATTTTTAATCACACAAACATGACTCATGAAACAGTTTTTGGAGGTTTCTGCCAGTGCAATTGCAAACAGAAGTATCAAGATTTTATTATCCCTAAGAAAATAAGTCCCACAAGTATTGAGATTACATACTATTCCAAATTCCAAAGTAGACCAAAACAAGGCAACAAGTGTAGATAAAGCACACTGACAACAGATGGCAGCACTAGAACATCAAACCCTGCCTTTCACTTCAGTGTTAGGCTGTGACTTGCAAAAATGCAGAACCCCAGTCAAGGTGGGCAAAAGATAATGTGTACCTAGAGGGTTCCTCATGAGCATTTGAAATAGTCACATAGCACCAAGCAGCAAGCACACAGGGATGCAGAAGTTGTTACATCGCATGGTAATGAGAAGGGACAATATGAGATGAAAGTGTTCTGAGATACAGGGTGTGACTTGGGAGTTGTAAAATTGTACACAGAAGTGGAGTCAGGCTCTTCAATGCCGAAAATGGGGGTATTCACCAAGGATCAGAGCACTGGATACACATAAACACTTAAAATGCATTTCAGTTGTACCCACACAATATAGTAGGAAGTTGAATGATATATTTTTTAAAGAAATGAAATTTGTTTTCAAATGTAGTTCATATAAACAAAAGACAGTGCTAAGTAATAGAAAATGAGTATTACAGTTAATTTTTTGGATAATAGTTCTTACATATTAATAGATTTATATATGCCTTATAATTGGGAAAAATTTTTTTTTTGAAAAAAACTTTTAGACTGATTTGCCAATTTATTACACTGGTAGCTTAAACATGAAGAAATGGATTTCCTCATCCTTCTACACCCCGTGATTAACAGCTAAGACTTGGGAGAAAAAGACACCTAGATTGAAATCTCACCTCAGTGCATCTTTAGTTGTATACCAAGCTTATCAAGATACTTAAATTCTCTGTGACTCATCTATAAAAAACTGACCACAGCTAACTGACAGGATTTTGTGAGAGTCAAAGAAGTAAAGCAGACAGCACAATGTTTAGCACATAGTATGTATTCAATATCTGAAAGCTATTATTGTGATTCCATATGTACGTGGGCCCCTCAACCCCAACTTTAAATTATTTTCGGACTTTAAATTCCTGAAAATGGGATTGCTAACTATATTATGAATAGAGAAAGTGGTGGGAACTTGGTAGCTGTAGTAATGATGTTCTTGCAAATACGGCAGATAAAAAAAAAGTTAATTTGGAAGGGAGCAGGGGAAAGATGCAAATCTTAGTTTTATATTATTTCTGGGTAAAACCTGTGTGAATGTGCCTACTTAAGCTCAAGGCAAGGATCTCTGAGTAGTTTTGCTTAGCTAAGTTTGTTGAAGCCAAAGGACTTTATGCTAAACAGTCTGCCCTGACTCAGAGAGCAAACTAAAGCTATGATTTCTTATTCCTCATTGGCATAGCATTAGTGAGGGGCCCACAGTGCAGGCTTTGGTGGAGATTAACTGGAAGAGCCTGTCTTCTGCCAGTAAAATATTCCCTTAGGCAAGTCTCCTAGGAGGGGCAGTTTCTACTCTATCAGACTGGTTTCTCCTTCTGTTTTCAAGACTGGGCTACTCTTGAAGTGGAAGGGGGTTGAGAGTGAGTATTCAAATTAAAGTTGCAGCTATAAGGGTTAGACTCAGTAGCCTATGAGTTCTGCTAACGTGAGGGTCATGCCTCATTCATTTTTGTGCCCCCGATGCCTCAACAGGGTTCTGCATTCAATATAATTATGAATATATGAATCTTTATAATTTTTTTTTACCTAATTGTCACGTGTAGGAACACTACGCCAGTTTTTAAAATAAGTACACCTTTTAAAGTAGTTGCTTTGGAAATGTATGACCTGTGGTGTGAATAATAAGGCATACCAAGTGCCAAGCGCTGGAGCTAAGCATTTTACCTTACTACTAAGTAAATTTTGGAAACTGAGGCTTCGACATTAAATACAACTAAGATGGCACAGCTAATAGGTGACAGAGTTTAAAACTTGAACCCAAGGCTGCCTGACTTTTAATCACAAGAGAAAAGGCCTTGTATTAATTCAGCAAAACTTGGTGAGCCGCTGCCCTTCAACTTGCAGTTCTAGACAGATTCCACCCGGAATTTAAGGCCTGGTTTACCAAAATGAACGAGTGTGTCCACACACCCCACGCACCTCACCCTAAACGAACTGGACTGGAAAAGGTAAAACGTGGCCACCGCCCAGGCTCAAACGTCCCTTCCTCACTCTTCCTTCCCTGCTCCGGGACGTCACCGCGGAAACTTTCCCGGACGACTCTAGAACGGCTCCCGCCCACTCTGAAGTCAAACGGGTGGAAGCTGATCCTCTCTGCGACGTGGACAACCTTCTCTTCCTCGGGCCTTTCCAACTTGGAAGCCAACACCACGCGCCTCGGTTTCTCGGGGATTCAAGCAGGAGTTTGCCAGATGTCAATATGGCCGCTGACAGGCGGTCCCAAGCAGAGGCTTTTCATAGGCCAAGGTCGCACCCCAGCCCCGCCCATTTCATCCCTCCTGGCTGCGTCCGCTGAGGCCTTCGATACGCATGCGCGGCGAGGGCGGGCCGAGAGGTGGGACGGCCCGCGTCTTCCGTGTGCCGCCGCCGCCGCCGCCGCCGCCGCCGCCGCCGCCTCAGCTTCGCCGCTCCTGCCGCTCCTGCCCCTCCGGGGCTGCATAGCCGGCGTTAGCCGCGCGAGGGTTAAGAGAGGGGACCGACGGAGCGTGCGTGCGCGGGGGTTCCCGCAGTCCCATCAGTTCCTCTCGCGGGTGGACTGCGTGGTCAGCAGAAGTCGGGGGAGGCCATAGACGGCGCCATGTCGGCGGGCGGCCCATGCCCGGCAGGAGCCGGCGGGGGCCCAGGAGGCCCCTCATGCGCCGTGGGGGTCTCCCCCGGCGGGGTATCCATGTTCCGGTGGCTGGAGGTGCTGGAGAAGGAGTTCGACAAGGCCTTCGTGGATGTGGATCTGCTCCTGGGAGAGATCGATCCGGACCAGGCGGACATCACTTATGAGGGGAGACAGAAGATGACCAGCCTGAGCTCCTGCTTTGCGCAGCTTTGCCACAAAGCCCAGACTGTGTCCCAAATCAACCACAAGCTAGAGGTGAGCTGTGGGCGCTGGAGGGGGTGGCATTCAACTCCAGTCATCAGACCTCATTTAACGCACCCGTGAAACGACCCTAGAAAACTGCCAGCCGGGCACCTGGGCTTCCTACGTGACGGGGGAGTGCGCGCGCGCGCGCGCAGGAAAGGAGTGAGGTGAGGTTAGAGCAGAAAAAGGTGTGTGGACTGACGTGTGGGTCTCCCGGGATCCTGTTGTCCACCTCCCTTGTATCTCTATGAAGAGGAAGCAGGAACTAATTACTCCAGCCTACTTGTGCCTGTTACGTTAACAGAGCTCAGACTTAACTGAAGCTCAGAGATTCTGTCATAAGAATACTTTAGCTCACCTTTTAACATTTGAGTTTTTAGATCTACTTTCACCTTGATAAACTAGGTTTGTATATCACCAGACAGACACAGTCCTGATTATTTTTAACTATTTCAGGTCAATTTCTGTTGTTGCACACAGACGTACTGTACCTTGACTGCACGAACTATTTAGCGGAATTTGATCGAAGCTCTTAAGAAAAATTAGTGGGATAAGCAAGACGGTATCAATGTTGATTTCAGTTTACAGTTAGTTGGTCCTTAAGTTACAGGCACATCCCTCCAGAGCGCCCTACAATTATTCAGCTGACTTCTAACATTGCGGTTTTGTCTGTACTTTACTGTCTTTCCCAAAGTCTGGGTTTATTTTTGAGAGTGTGTGAAAGATGATCATTTGCTTTAGTCTCTAATCTTGGTTGTGGGTGTGAGTGCAGTGGTGGTGCTTCCAAAAAAACCTACCATTTTTGCAGAAAATTAAATTTTTACAATATTTAGAAAGCATGATAGATTACTATCATTACATAAAGATCATTTTCTAACTAGATAAATAAGAGAATGGGTCTTTCATTTTAAAGTAGGTAAAAATAGGATAATAAATGATGTGCACAGCTCTTTGAACATTAGATTTTGTGAGAAATCATCATTACTATCAGTTGTGGTGATTGAGAATGCCCATTGGATCCAAATCAATATGAATATCAGAAATGCATCCTCTCCTTGCTTAGTGGTTAGCATTCTTTCTCTTTCCTGTCAGTTGTGAAAAAGGTGGTATAATTTAGCTTTGATTGGCATAGAATTGCATATGGGAGATTTTGTGACTCTTGTTCACTGAAAGGACTGTTAATTTCTTTCATCCTTTCTGAAAAGGTTGGAAGTGTTGATATGAGGCTAATCACTTCTTAATCTAGGTATATGAAAATGTCTCTTGAATTCTTGCTTTAGTGGTAGTTTCTAGAAGATGGTTATTTATTCATGTATTGAAATTGCATTTGTTGGTCTTTAGAAATAGTACTTCAGCTTTAAATAGCAGAGCAAGAGTAGCTTTTGCTACTCTACAACTGAGAGTATTTACTGAGATAAACAGATTTTAAAAAGTGATACAAGATCTAATTCATTTTTTAAATGACTTAAGGAAACTTTAAAGTGCTATTTGGACTTCAGATATAAAACCTAATTTTGGAGAAATGATTGTTCTTTGAGCAGGAGGTGATGCTTAGTTTTTTTCATCTTTAAATATTTTAAATGAGTACTCAGAGCTGTAATAAATTATGCATGTTCTTTTTTAGAAATTATAATTACATATTCTGATTCCATGTCCTGGCTTAGAAGGTGGCATTATTTCTCAAAATAAGAAATGCTAGCCTATCACAATGTGAGCATGTTTTTCCAACATGCTAGAAGCCTTTGATTTAAAGATCTTAGGAAATGGGGATTGTTTGTGTGTTTTTTCAGTTACAGTTGACTTCTCTGTGGGGTTATTCTTTCTATATTTAGCAGTTTCTACAGTTTTCAGTTTTCATGGAATCTGTTGTGATTGCTGAGGAGAGAGGTTCATTGTCAGTAGTGCTTTTCAAAGTAGATCTGCCATTGTATCATCTGCAGAATTTCAGAGGTTGCCCTGTGTACTGTTAGCAATCTTTTGAGATCTTGAAATTTTAGAAAAGATTTCCATACTTTCTTGCCCTGTTTTATTTCTTAGTAAGTGAATTGAATTAGTTCTGTTGTTTTAAGGATATGGGCATTAAGACATAATATTTGAGGTCACTTACAGTTTGATATAGCAGATGTGCACCAAAGTTCGGTGGTTTTAGAGATTAATACCTTAAACCATATTGCCATAATAAAATATTTTTATAATCAAGAGAGGTACCTCCAGTATGAGTAACTTATGATATATTTAAATTGGTCTTGAGTATCCTTCCAGATTGCCCTTCCTCTGCTCATTGTCTTCAGGTAGTTAATTTAATATTAATATAATAGTTAGGAAAACAATTTTGCTACAAAAAAAGTCAGAGGTTACATTAAAAAATTAAATATAAGTGACATCTATGTGACTGCTTTTTTCCATAAATTATATTTGGGGAGAGGGATATCTATAAGGGGAAGGGGAGGGCAGAGAATTCAGAATATATATATATATATATATATATTTTTTTTTTTTTTTTTTTTTTTTTTTTTTTGTGCGGGGGCCTCTCACTGCCGTGGCCTCTCCCGCTGAGGAGCACAGGCTCCGGACGCGCAGGCCCAGCGGCCATGGCGCACGGGCCCGGCCGCTCCGCGGCACGTGGGATCCTCCCAGACCGGGGCACGAACCCACGTCCCCTGCATCAGCAGGCGGACTCCCAACCACTGCGCCACCAGGGAAGCCCAGAATTCAGAATATTTTGAGGTAGTGCATTTCAAATTACTCACATCTCTTTTATACTTCCCACCTGCTTGAGAATCCCTGCTATGGTGAGCCACTTGGTGACAGCTGTGCTGGATTCACAGGTACTGATTAGGATAGTAGTAGTAGTAATAGTAATAGTAGCAGTAGTAGGTGTGTTGGAGTAGAACAAAAGATGAGAACCAGTGCTTTAGAAGAACTCACCTCTCTGCCTTGAAGTACGGTTGTCTGCCTGTGTCACCCCTTCTTTAAAATAACAGCAAAACAATATATCTTCTGTCATGTCCTCCTTTCCCTCAGCAATTGCTGAATAAGTATCTTTTTTTAAAGTGATTTACTGTTCACAGCCGTCTAGAGCCACATTGAAAATGAACGAATGATATACTACCCTTTTACTGCTTTAAAGCTATTCTCATTTTTTTTTAGTGTATCAGTTTTATTGCAGTTTGTTTAACATTGGCTGTTAACCACTCATTGAACAGTTTCACTGCCATAAAATGGTAGGTTTCAAAAATAGTATTCCCCCCCACAAAAATCTGCCCCCATTCTCACCTGTCCATCCTTGCTCTTCTTTTTATTTCTTGGCCACTTGGTTTGTGGGATATTAGTTCCCCAACTAGGGATCGATCAAACCTGGGCCCCTGGCAGTAAGAGCTCCTCCCTAATCCTGACCACTGAACCGCCAGGGAATTCCCCATCCTTGCTCTTTTTCAATAATTACTACATTGATTTCCCTTTGCCCTTCTACTTACTTACTTATACCAAGGCTATTCATATTTAGTTTCTAGTGCCATGTTCCATACTTGGATGAACTGGGTAGCATTCTAGACTAGTATAGGAAAGCTATTCTGTTTTTAAACAAGTGATGAGGCTGTTTTGCAGCATTGAACTTGAAGTTTAATATTGCTCCAATATATATTTATTGAGTGCTAATTATGCACCATATGCTGTGTTGGGCACTTGGGATACAATGGAGAGCAAAAATGGACATAATCATCACTGTTATGGAACTTGGATTTTATTGGAATTTGTTGAAATAATTATCATATAAATGTGAAATTCCAACTTTGAGGTACATAGAGTAATGAGAACCTATTCTGGGGCATCAAGAAAGGCTTCTTTGAGGAAGTGACTATTGAATTGAGACATAAAGGATGAGTAGGAATTAATTAGGCCAAGAGAAATAGGAGTATCGTTCAACATTCTGGTAGAGAGAACAGGATGTAGAAGGCACCTGTGATGGGCGAGTGCTAATGCATTTGAAGAACTGAGAGTTGGTATGTGTTATAAGAGCATAGGGCAAAAGAAGTGAGATGCAAAATAAGTTTGAACAGGTAGGTAGGGACAATATCTACATGATTTTCTAGACCATGTAGTAGATTTGAGGGCTTTATCATAACAATGGGAAATGTTTTAAATTAGGTGGTGACCTCAGATAGGAGATTAGAATAGTTACTCTGGCTATGATAAGGAGAGAATTTGGGGAAATAACAAGGATAAATGCAGAAAACCATTTAAGGGGCTCTTAATTCTGATCCATGTGAGATGATGGGAGTAGGATAGCAGAGGTGGAGGAAAGTGTTCAGAACAAGAGAGATTTGAGAAGTAAAAATAAAATCTAGGGATGGGTTAAAACAGAGGGATGAGGGAATTCAGGATGACTCCAAGGTGTCAGTTGGCTGGATAAATGGATGGATATTATATATTGCTAGCAATACTATATTGCTAACTGTTGATCAGTTACTATGGGCCAGGCTCTGTGCTAGGTCTTTTATATATATCGATTCACCCAATTCTCAAAATAGTCCTGTGGGGTAGGTTTAGTATTGTTATTCCCATTTTATAGGGATTAAGTAAGGGGCCCAAGACTACAGAACTAGAGAAACCAAGCTCTCCAAAAACACATTTATGTCTGGCTGGGGAAGGAGGAGGTGGAAAGAAAAAAAGCAAGCAGAAAAAATTGAGTGTGGCTGGATAGCCGGGAGGGGGAGGGGGATTTCAAGGGAGGTATTGTTTTCTTTTTTTTTTAATGGAAAAATAAACTTAAACATGTTTACAAGCCAATGAGAAGCATCTAGTTGAGGGAAAATCTGAATATTCTAGAGAAGGAGAGGATAATTAGTAAGACTTCTGAGTGAAGATGAAATCCAAAATACATGTAGAGAGAATGAATAGCTGTCCTTTATATTGAAAGGACAGCTATTATACTTAAAGGGAAAGGAGAGATGATAAGCACAGAAGCGGGAGTGTTTTGTTTGATGGCTTCTTTATTCTCTGTAGAATAGGAG